CCAGGCGGAGTTTGCTCATAATTCGGCTATCAGTCGGGCCACAGGCTTGTCACCGTTCGAGGTTGTTTATGCGGTGCGCCCGCGGGGACCGTCCGACTTGGTGAGCTTGGCACCCGGCGTTGCGGCTGACCGGAGGGCCGCGGACCTTCTGGCTGATTTGAAGGCGACCCACGAGGCGGCTAGGGCTCGATTGGAGGCCACGACCGCGTCGTACAAGCGAACGGCTGATTTGCGCCGGCGGCATGTGGAGTTCTCGGTTGGTGATTACGTTTGGGCCGTCTTGATGAAGGATAGGTTCACAGCCCACGAGTATAACAAACTGTCGGCCCGGAAGATTGGCCTGGTTGAGGTAATTGAGAAGATAAATCCTAATGCTTATCGTTTCCGTCTTCCTTCTCATATTCGTACGTCTGACGTCTTCAACGTCAAGCACTTGGTGCCGTTTGTGGGAGACAACTCGGATGAAGACGAGACCGCTTCGGATTCGAGGTCGAATCCTGCTCAACTGGGGGAGGATGATGAAGACGAGACCGCTATTGCGTATTTGAATAAATATGACCATCTCCGGGTTTAGTCGGTTTCATTTTATTATTATTATTCAAACTCTTTTATTTTATTTCTTTTAGTTAATTAGTACTTTGGGTAGGAAAATAATTATCTTGCAGTTGTGGGGCAAGATTAGAAATATTTATTTCTCTTTGTTATTTATATGTTATGAGGACAATGAGAAAGATCAGTTTTTTTGATCGATTGAAATAAAAATATGTGTGTTCCTTTGAGAGAGTATCTCATCTTCTTCCCTAATTGTACTACGCTCTACATCAGTTGGTATCAGAGCCAGCCCATGTGCCAGCGGTGACTGCTGGGCCCACAAGGGGGGGTGGATGATGCAGCGCATCCCACATCGGGTTTGAAAGGAAACGAAGCAGGCCTTATATAAGGATGTGGATACCTTCACTAGTAAGACGCGTTTTGGTGGGTGTGTATTGAAGCCTAGCCAAGAACAAAGTCGTGCGGGTGGCGGAAGTAGCCCAAAGCGGACAATATCTTACTAGGGTCTGCATCAGTTGGTATCCAGAGACCAGCAGCGATCCACGATGCCGCCTAAGCGAAACGACAACATCGTTGAAGAACGATTCCAGAGAATGGAAGATCGATTTCAAGGGATGGATGACCGTTTCACCGACATCAACACCGGAATCAAGGACTTGCGACAGGCGATGTGTACCCTGATGACAGAGGTTCGTACGAGCCGCGACGCCGACCGGGGCAGACGCGGAGGGTTTCGCGGGGATAGAGGAGGCCGTGGGTTTGGCGGGGCGCCCCGCCGGTGGCCAACTCCACCTCTGTCCGGTGACGAGGACGAGGAGACGTGGAGCGGGGAGAACCCGTTCGCGACTGCTCATACTCGCAGGCCTGCTATGAACGATCGGCGACGTGAACCTAGGGTTTATGGCAGGGACGGGTTCGATGAGGTTGATAGTGGTGATGACCACGATGGCAGGTTTGGGGATTTTCGCGATGGCCGTGTCGAACACCAGCGACGCGCGATTTCACGCGAGGGTACTGATTCGGAGGTCGAGGATGAGGAGCTGCACCATCGTGGCTGGGGCGGTCGTGAGGGAGACTATCAGCGGCGGCCAGCTTTTGGGTTCTTTGGCCCGATCATGCGTCGCCTGGCGGTGGGCCCGGTGGACGACTACTCTTTGACTGACGGGTTCCTGTTTCGTGGAGTTCGTCTTTGTATTCCTGATTGCAGCCTTCGACTGAAGCTCATTGCTGAGCTGCATGGTGCGGGGCACGTTGGGCGAGATCGTTCGGTTGAACTGGTTGGGCGGTCCTATTTTTGGCCGTCTCTTCGACGGGATGTGGGGCAATTTGTGGAGCGTTGTCGTATTTGTCATGTCTCGAAAGGGGTCGCGTCCAACGCGGGTTTGTATAGGCCCCTTCCCATTCCATCACAGCCTTGGAGTGCAGTTAGTATGGACTTCGTGCTGGGTTTGCCCCGTACTCAGCGTGGTTTCGACTCCATTTTTGTCGTTGTCGACAGGTTTTCGAAGATGGTGCATTTTATTCCATGCAAGAGG